AGAACGGAAAATCAGTGGATGAGGTGAACAGAGTGAGTCCCAGGGCAGTGCAGAAGCCCACTCTGAGCTAAAGATCATGATTTAGAAGTGAAACTCCCGAGGCTGGACAAGAGTTCAACACTCCCCACATCCAACTACAAGTGTGTAAGAGCTGAGTCAAAGTCACATTTCATCAGGATGTAGCTATGGCAAAGTAGGACCATGAAGCTCCTAGAGGCCACAATCCTAGTGTAGAGGTATATGCAGAGAGTGACTGTGAGGACTGTGATTGTTGTGGAAAGCAAGAACCGGGAATCTCTGGTGGTGTGAGAAACCAAGCCGGGTCTCCAAGCAGTGCAGAAAGCTGAATTCTTTGTTAGCCAGCTCTGATCCAGAGGAGATAAGTGCTCTAAATTCTGGCCCCAGATCAGCAGGAATGGAAGGCTTTTATAACTTAGCATGAGTTGGGTTGGGCGAGGGTCTAAGTGCATCAGAATTTTAAAGAAGCAGAAACAGCACATATTTATGTTTTTTGAGGGTGGGATTTTTGGATACAAAGAAGACGTTAATAGGAACATCTTGTGGTTACTGGATAAGCACAGAACATGCCCTGCTATACTTGGGGCTGGAGGCAGGAACTTGTAGAAACAAAGGTCTGTGGGCTTCAGGTTTCACTTTCCTCCTTATAACATCTCTCAGGAAATCCAAGATGGATGAAGGGGAAAGCAGTTACCAAAAGAGTGAAAGAATGTAAAACCGTGGTAGAGTCTAACAGATTCAGAAAGCAACACAATTTCAGACTTGCTGGAGTCAAGAAATGCAGTACCATGAAAGTGGAAGCGATGATCTACAGTGGAAGGCTTGAAACTGAGGTTCATAAAGCAGGTAGAAGTTCGTAATGGTGAGGCCTAGACTATGAGCATGGACTAAATGAGGAAACCGAGGAACTCAGGGACTAGAATTTTCTGAACAACTGTCTATGTGCGTAACAACTCTATTGCTAGTGTGATGAATTGTGACAAACTTAGTGGCTTAATACAGCACAGATTTTCTCATGTTCTGTAGGTCAGACAGCTAATGAGGGGCTCACTAAAATCAGTGCTAGCAGGACTAAGTTCCTTTCTGGAGGCCCTACTGGAGAACCCGTTTTTTGTATCAGCCTCTACATATTGTCCACTTTCACATCTCACAGCACCAGGGTGCATTTTCAAAGTCAGCAAGTGGTTCAGGCCTTTTTTAATTTTTTTTTTTAGTACCAGATATTGAACTCAGGACCTTGTGCTTCCAGACAGGCACTGAAGCTGCTGAGCTATCTCCTCAAACCCAGGCCATTCTTGTGTCACATTACTCTAGATGCCCTGCATCCTCACGTCTCTTTCTTATTCATTCTTCCACAGTTAATGGCCCTCATGATTGCCCTGGGCCACCCACACCATCCAGAAAAACCTCCCTATTTAAAACAAGCTCATTTGCTTCCTAAGGTTACTTATTCAAAGTCTGCAGGTTTGGACATGGCTATCTTATAGGGGCTGTCATTTTACTTACCACAATGTGTATGTTGAAATCGACAAGAGTTATAAGGAGTGGAGGAATTTAGAGAGTTTGACAGTGAACCATAACCTTACCATGAAAAAAATGTGTTGAAATATCTGTAGATAACTGAAGATGGGCAGAGCTGGAGCTTAGTTTGCTAATTTGAGTTCTAGTGATGGAGGTGA